AACAAAGACCGGTGATCGTTTTATGTCATAGCTTAGATGTTTTGAGAAAAATCCAGCCTTGATTTAACAAAAGCCCAAGTATCGTAATTTTAATTTCACTAATGCGCGCGTATGAACTTACTTGGACGCTGCTGGGCCTTTGAAGCGTTGTTAAAACGATTTTCCTTTGAAGGCCTTGGGTTTTACGCCTTGCCCCTTTGTGTCTGGCATTTTTAACCCCCTTTTGATTATCTGTTTTCTGGTACATGGACGTCTTTGAATCCGTAAGCTCGTTTCACAGTTTTCTGACTTTCAGTAAGTGTATGTGCATCCTACAGATGACACGTCATCGTAGGCAACATATTTTGCTGTAATTCCGTTCTTCGGGTCATTTGGCGGTCCTCGACTGCAGGCGTGAAGAGCGCGAGCGCATTTCCTGAGTGAGAATGTCATTTAGATAAGTTTTTCTTCTAACGCAGTGCCGTTTCTGGGCGTGTTACTGCCGTAAAGTCGCTGAGAGTGTATGAACGTCAAGAGAAGGGCGAAGACATTTTTTCGACTAATATTTCGGCTTAGATATGATTAACTATTCATGGAAATCTTCTGCTTTGCATCTGTTATTTTCTCGCCGCAAATAAAGACAATTATTCGCCGTATTTACAATCCCCCAACGCATCAGCGAGTGATGCTGCACAACTTTACGAAGCCTAAAATTAATTTCGGGGCTGTTTTCGATGTTATGATAATCACTAGGGATATTAACCTTCCTGAAATAGACTGCGTTTCCACTATCTGTCCACCTTGATTCCAACCCTTCCAAGATATAGTCAATTTTCCTAACTGGTCTCAGCTTGTGTGCTCTCCAACAAGTAATAATCACATTTTAAATACAATCTTTACTGGTGACATTTCCCCTCCTTTTGTCGCTTTCAAAAGGACTTTTTTGAAAGTGATCACTCATTGATTCATTGTTGCCTATCGCTTACCTTTTCAGAGAAGACTAGCACAGTTCAGACTTACCTAAATTACGATTGCCTAAATAACGACTTAAAAAATAACTATATTGGATAATTGGACTGAAGTGTTTTTCACTCCGGTACTGATGCAACCGCTCTTTGTGACGTCATGCTTTATGTTTCCAAGGGCATCTTAAAGCTTATGCCTCGTACATATCTCAAATCTAAGTATTTGGATTTCCTTGTTCCTCATTGTCTTTGCAACAGACTTGAAAGCTGAGACGCCAGCCTCGTGACTTATCCAATAGTTCTTTATCCGTCCATCTTAGAATTGCGGAAATTTTCGAAATGACCTCAAGGATACGCCAAGCGCGCGATAGGCAAAAAGACTCACTTGCTCCCAGTGATTCAAACCCTGTCAAATCCGTCGCTAACATCTTCCGTCATCCGTCCTCCTCTAAGCGTTGTCACGAACTTCCACCCCTGCTAAACGATAACAAAATCCTAATCAAGGATACTGACAAGGCGGAGTTGTTTAGCGCTTTCTTTGCAAAACACCATACTACTGAGCCCGACTCAGTCCCTTTCGTTCGTGCACTTTCAAATAGGACATTTATTACAATCGATGTCTCCTCAGATCTTACTAAGAAACACATAGGTCCTTTTAAAAACTCGCACTGCTCAGGAACGGACGGGATTCCAAGCTAAATTATTAAACAGTTATCCGACCTCCATATATTGCTTAGTCAGTTATCCTCGGTTTATATTTCTAGCGGATTTTTCCCGAAAACATGGAAGACCTCAATTATCAATCCTGTCCTCAAGTTTGGATCTCGATCCGATGTTTATAACTATCGCGGTGTGCACAAAACACCGTCTCTGGCAAAACTTCTTGGAAGGATAATTCCCAATGTAATTCTTGATTTCTGTCCAGCTACTTAGCTTATGGACTCTAAGCAGCATGGATTTTGCAGGAAAAATCCTGCGAAACTTGTCAGTTGGTCTTTCTTAATGTAATCACTGCTCTTCGTAATGAACGGCAGTCAGTGGCAATTATCTACTTTGATCTTCGCGAAGCCTTCGACAAAGTACCCCATAGATGTCTTTTGGTAAAACTGGAAACTCTCAGCATCCGGTCGCCTCTACTTAATTTCATAAGGTCCTACCTATCCAAACAGCTACTCGACACCTCACTGGATCACGAGGGGAATACTTAAAGGCACAGTTCTGAGTCCGCAACTCTTCCTTTTTTACATCAATGATATTGCAACTGAAATCAAAAATTCCAAAACTTTATTCATGCCGATGACCTCAAGTGTATTTCCCCATATTTTAAGGACAGCGCAAATGTTTGTGCTGAAAAAATTAAAGCCGATTTACTACGCTTAAGCAGATGAAGTTCAACATGGCAGATGGAGCTTTCGTCGTCCAAATGTGGTTCCAAGTCTTTTGGTCCTGCCAAGCTCTCTGGCCCCATAATTATTCAGAATAACCCACTCTCACAATGCTTTAGTGTGAAGAACCCAGGTTTGATTTGCACAAATAAACTTGATTTATCCCGTCGTGCAGATAAGATCTCTGCGAAAGCTGCACAGTTATGTAGGTTCATATCACAATTTTTTCATTCCGGAAATAAAGCCAAAACTTTATCAAATAAGTGAAGAAAAAGAGGGATCGAGCACCGGAACATTTTGCTTTGAGCCTTCGGACTCGTGCAAGAGTCCATCGACGGATATAGTAGAAGCAAGAGAACAGGCGACAGTTATAGAGTATGTAGACCAATCATCGACCGACGGCGCAAGACTAGAGGTTATTGCGCATGGGTCTATACGCCGGCGCCAGATCGATAAATCGGTTGACTGAGTTTCATCCGAGCCCCAGGCCCCAACACATTCTCGGTCTGTTTTGTTTCCTGCGTGGGCGATTATTTTGGTTGCTGCGATGTTAAACTCGTGACCCACCTCGTCGGTGTGTGAGTCCACTTTTGATAATGCGTCGCCTCGTCGCATAGTCAGATTATGTTCCTGTATGCGATACACTACTTCAGATTGCTATTTAGGCTTTAAGCGGTCTTTAATTTTCATTACCCTATTGCGCATGGTGACTTTGGAGCGGTGCGCAATTCCAACACCTAGCTCCCCAGCAATGCGCTCGGTCGCTTCCGAAACGTCCTTAGTGTATGGCAAAGAATACCATATCGTCGGTGGTGTTGTTGTTTGAGTCAAACGTGTCGTCTACGTAACGGCGCCAAAATACCGGCTCATTTGGGATGAAAGAAATCTTTTCCAACTCCTGTAGGACCAGTTCTGCCACTAAACCAAAGACCGGACAATAAACAAAGTGTTCCGGTGCGCGACCCCTCGTCTTCTTTTTCTTCTTCTTCACTAGTGCATACACCTGGAACTCAAAATTTCGCCTTCACATTATCAAATGTCTGTTCTTTCTGTCCTCGAGTACTGCTGTTCTTTCTTTGGTTTGATGAACGCCTGTAACCGTAATAAATTCGAAAATTTTAATAGGGCTTTTACTCGGAAACTCTTCTCTCAAGATGCATCCGGTATTTCTTATATGCAGAGATGTCAGCTGGCGACCACTAGATTTTTATGGATTAGAAGATTTGGAGCTGGCCTTTGCTTACTTTTTCGCATTAATTCTAGCTCCAAGCTTCCGCGCATTGACACTCTCACTTCGAGAGGTCGGTCTCATGCCACGCGCAACTCCTCCACGGCGATTCTGTCGCCTCCGCGCACTACATCTAAAAGCTCCCTCTTTTTTGCGTCCACATTTGCCTTCCTTTGGGAATAATCTTCCACCAGAACCTAGGTCATCGCCTAAGTTATCGACATTCAAGTCCAAATTGCTTAAGCACCTTACACCGGAAAATATAAAGTCTCTTTTGGCCGTTTCATTCCTGAACATTCAACTTCTTGACTTTGAGAGGAGTCTTCCTGTGATATGACAGTTCGACCATCGGTTTCGATGATGTCCACCGTGTGCCCCACAGTTGCAGCAGCGGTGGGAGCAGGGACGGTGACTTACGCAGGGGTTTATAGTGCCAGTAGACTTGCGTAGCATCTACCTACACTCTCCTCCTCCCTCGCCCGAGCCCGCTGTCAAGACAGAGTCAAGAAGACCGGAGACGAGGGAGGCCGCAGGTGGATGGCACGGACGGATCCTCACCTTGGCGTTCCACCACACCCCCTGGTCCACACAACAATAACCAGGATTTCAGCCAACAAAAGAGATTTGGAGGCTGGCACGACCGAAGCCGCACCTGGGCGCGCCGCCGACGCCTGGCTCGGATCCCACACTGTGGTGGGAGTGCCATAATGGCCACATTAAAAAGGAGCCATCGCAGTCTGACTCTCAGACCGCCTCCAGTTAAGGAGGAGGTCCAAGGTACCCCGTCAGTTGGCAACCTTCCAAGCCACGGCTGTTAGCGCACCGTGATAGTTTCAAGCGCGTCAGATTGTTTATAGTGAGGAAAATGAGCTGAGTGGTCGACCTCATTCTCCCTTCCCACTCCCACACCCCAGCCGCTGTCCGAGCCGGTCAGCAGACTGGAGTGGGAAATGGGCGCGGTGGCTGTCATGGTCGACGGTACATGACTGCGCGCGCCACAGCACGACCTGGCCTTCCATACGCACACAAACACCAGGATTTCACACAACCGGGGTTGAACGGCGTGTCTCTCATTTGCGTGAGAGGGCCGTGGAAGGTGCTGTTTCAGCCCGTCATCAGCCCACCAGTCCGCCACTACACACAACACACACACAACGCGACGAACTGCGTGAACCGAGAGCGGGCCTCAATCAGCAACCTTCCTATCCACGACGCTTGACGTGTCGGGATAGTCTCGGACTCAAGTCACCCGTGCAGCCGAAGCCGCATGGGGACCGAGTCGAGATGCGGACTTCCCACTTGCGTGGGAGGTGGCAGTTGGGTGCATGAGGTGTGTGAGTGTTGATTTCTGGTGGGGTGTTGGTGGTGGTGGTGATGGTGGTGGTGGTGGTGGTGTTGGAGGAGGTAGGGAGTGAGTGAATGTGGGGCGTGACCGGCGGTTGTCTACCGCAGGTCGTCGTGGATGCGCATGTGGCCGAAGAGACCCATGCGATGCGTGAAAGTGCGAGGGCAGTGTGGGCAGTTGAGGGGAGCTTGGTGGGTATAGGTGGGTGCTCCAGGCACTGGTTCGCCAGTCTCTGTGCGATGGATTCGCAAGTGACCGGCCAGGCCGATGCGTGAGGTGAATGTGCGTGAACAGTGTGGGCAGGTGAAGTCGGCGGCGTCAGTGTCAGCTACAGAGAAGGCGGTGGTGGTGGCGCAGACGGATGGAGCGAGGATGGGGGTGTGCACGGTGGATGTGTTGGATGTGGTGGGTGTGTCGGGAGTGCGGTCAAGGCCGCTCTCGTGGATGCGCATGTGGCCAAATAGGCCCGTGCGGTGCCTGAAGGTGCGAGGGCAGTGTGGGCAGTTGAGTCGAGCGTGGTGGGTATAGGTTGGCGCTCCAGGCACTGGTTTGCCAGTCTCTGTGCGATGGATTCGCAAGTGACCGACCAGGCCGATGCGTGAGGTGAATGTGCGTGAACAGTGTGGGCAGGTGAAGTCGGCGGCGTCAGTGTGAGCAACGGAGAAGGCGGTGATGGGGGTGATGGGCGCGCAGGGCGATGGGCGCGCAGGGCGATGGGGCGAGGGTGGGAATGGGCGTGGTGGGTGTGCTGGGTGTCGTGGGTGTGTTGGAGTTGCGGTCAAGGCCGCTCTCGTGGATGCGCATGTGGCCGAATAGGCCCATGCGATGCCTGAAGGTGCGAGGGCAGTGTGGGCAGTGGAGGCGAGTGCGGTGGGTGTAGGTTGATGCATCAGGCACTGGTTCGCCAGTCTCTGTGCGATGGATTCGCAAGTGACCGACCAGGTCGATGTGTGAGGTGAAGGTGCGGTCGCAGTGAGGGCAGGTGTAGTCCTGATCCTCATCGCTGGAGTCCGGGGGAGGCGGTGGTAGTGTCGGTTGTTGCGCGCGGGACAGTCGCCTGAGCGGCCGCCGTTGGAGCAGTGGACGAGGAGGAGGAGGAGGAGGAGGAGGAGGATGGAAGTGGTGGGTCAGAAGAATCGTCAGAGTTAGTTGGCGGCGGAGAGGAGGAGGAAGAGGCGGGCGGGGGGACGATAGTTGGTGCATTTCGAGAAGCGCAGTTAATCCGACGATGTCCAACAAGTCCGATTCGAGCCCGGAATGTCCGTTGACATCGAGGACACGCTGGAAGCGGTTGTGCGGCGGCGTTGCGTACTGGGCGAAGTTGTGATTTGCGGGTTTCGCGTTTCGCTTTGGCGGCAGCGATGCGGTTGGCTTCGTAGATCGCAGCGCCTGTCTTCACTGTCCTCCTCCAGGTCGGTCGATCGAGTGCGAGCTCCTCCCAGTTGGTGGGGTTTATTTGCAGGCATTTCAGGGAGGACTTCAGGGTATCCTTGTAGCGGCGAATCTGTCCTCCTTGACGGCGAGAACCCGTCGCAACGTCTCCGTAGAAGAGTCATTTGGGTAGTTGCTCGTCGTCCATGCGCACCAGGTGGCCGCTGCAGCGCAGCTGAATTTGCCTCAGTATGGCGTAGATGCTGAGGATTCCCGTTCGTTCCAGCACATCAGTGTCGGGGATGCGATCCTGCCAGTTCAGCCTCAGGATGCGACGAAGACAACTGAGGTGGAAGTGGTTCAGACGGCGTGCCTGTTTTGCGTACACCGTACAAGCCTCCGCTCCATACAGTAGTGTCGGCAGGATGACGGCCTTGTACATCTTCAGCTTCGTGCTCAGCTGAAGACCGTGGCGATTCCAAACTGTGCTTTGGAGGCGGCCGAAGGCTTGGCTGGCTTTCGAGATCCTGTTGGCGACTTCGCCGTCGATCTTGGTGTTGGGGGAGAGAGTACTGCCCAGGTACGGAAAGTTCTCCACCACTTGCAGTTGGGTCCCGTCCACGCTGATTTGCGGCGGCGCGTTGGGGACTGTGGCTGAGTTGGGTGGCGGTTGGTGCATCACCACCGTCTTCTGCGTGTTTATGACCAGACCGAAGTTCTCGCAGGCGGCGGAGAACAGGTCCATGCTCCGTTGCATCTCCTCTACCGAGGTGGTGTTCAGGGCGCAGTCGTCGGCAAAGAGGAGTTCGTGAACGGTGGTTGTGGATACGAGCGATTGGAAGTGCAACCGCCGTTGATTCAGCAGGTGACCGTCCGTCCTGTAGGCGATGCGGATCCCGGGGTGTTCGTCGCGGTAGGCGTCCATCAGCATGGCAGAGAACATAAGACTGAAGAGGGTAGGCGCCAGTACGCAACCTTGCTTCACTCCATTGGTCACTGCAAATGCCACTGAGACAGCTCCGTTGTCCTTGACTCGCGCCATCAAACCGTCGTGCAGCTGTCGCACCATCTGAGTGAATCGCTCCGGACAGCCGAATTTCTGCATGATCTTCCACAGTCCTTCACGATTCACCGTGTCGAAGGCTTTCGTCAGGTCCACGAAGGTAGAGTACAGGTGGGTCCGCATCTCCTGGCACTTCTCCTGTAGTTGGCGGGCGGCGAAGATCATATCCGTGGTCCCACGATGACGACGGAAGCCGCATTGGCTTTCCGGCAGAAGGCTCTGTTCCAGATGGTTATTGAGGCGGTTGAGAAGGATGCGAGCGAAGATCTCCCCAGCGATGTTCAGCAGGGAGATGCCGCGGTGATTGTCGCAGACTTGGCGATTCCCTTTGCGCTTGTAGAGATGCACGATGGTTGCGTCCTTGAAATCTTGCGGGACTTCACCTTGACGCCACATCTCTTGGAAGAGCGCAGTCAGGTGATCCATCAGTTGGGGACCTCCGTGCTTGTAGACCTCAGCAGGGATTGCGTCCGATCCGGGTGCTTTCCTGCTGGAGAGTTGCTGCACGGCCCTGATGGTTTCCTGGAGAGATGGCGGGAGGTCGAGGTCCACGTTGGTCTCCACTTGCGGCAAACGCTCGATGGCGACGTCGGAGATGACGGAGGGGCGGTTGAGGACGCATCAGAAATGCTCGGCCCATCGCTGTAGGATTTGTGTCTTCTCAGTCAGGAGAGTGCTGCCGTCGGCGCTGAGGAGTGGAGCAGTGCCCTTCGTCGCCGGACCGTAGACAGCTTTGATCGCAGAGAAGAAGTTCTTCCATTCGTTGCGGTCCGCGTAGCCTTGGATCTCCTCAGCTTTGCGAGCAGTCCAGACGTCCTGCATCTCGCGCAGTCGTTGCTGAAGTTGGCGGCGACTGCGGTAGAAGGCAGCTTTGGTGGCATCAGTGGGGTGATCTACGTAGGCTTTGTGTAGGCGGTTCTTCTCAGCAAGCAGATTTCTGATGGCGACGGGAAGGAGGTGGAGAAGAAGACGGCGAAGGAGAAGAATAGTCAGAGGAAGAGAAAGAAGAGGTAGGATGAGGAGGTGAGCGAGTATTGTTGTTGTTGTTGTTTTTGTTTTTGTTGTTGTTATAGGTATTGTTGTTGTTTCGATTTTGATTGTTTCGACCATGTTTAGACGTCTGCGGCCCTGGCTAGCCTGAAGACGGCGTGGTGCCCAGCAATGTTTAGGCCACCTTTTCTAGGCTCTTCCCCTTGTGGATGCTGGCAGTGCCATCCCTGAATAGTGCTGCCATGTGCCGTTGTGGCACAGCCAAACTCCACTATGGGGCCACGACTTCGTGTTGCAGTGGAGAGCGACTCGAATTCGCCGTAAGCCGCGGTCTCCGACGGCGTAGGTGGGCGCGTCAAGGCGATGGCGATGTGGAGATCCATCCCGTCACCGGCTGTCCAGCGGCGTGCAGAGGCGAACCACGTCACGACGGTGCCGACGCAAGGTTCCATCCGACCTTCCATCCAGCGGAATCCGCAAACCCTGTGCACACGGCACAGCGCACAGGGTCCCCTCACCTGGTTTAGCCCGCCGGTCGAGACGGTTGCCCGGGGTGTGGCCGCTGAGCAGAGCCCAGCTACGTGGAGCCACAGGTGAGAGTTGAGTGCCAGCAAGTAAACGCTAGGCGTAGTCTCCCCTGCAAGCAAGTGAGCGACCACCACGACCATCACGTGGACCCACCGCTGACACCCCTACACCCCAGATATGGACCCCAAGCGGTCTGTCGATGCTCACGGCGAAATCCTCTGTAGTTGCCATCTACTAGTAGACTTGTCGGTCTGCAAAGAGATCCCCTGATCGTAACTCCCTTGGCCTCTCCTCGGCTACACTCGAAGCGGACCGTGGCCGATCGTGCCTGGGTTCCTCTCGTCCCGCCACTTTGACGCTAAATGACTCATCCGGTGTGGGAATTCTGTCTTGACGATGTCCTCATCGAAGCCCTTATACACTACCGCATGCAGGCCAGTCCTGTCTGACCCAAATACTTACCCTTTCATTAGTAAACTTTTTTCTGCCCTGACGATGTCCGTTTATAATCCGTTATGCACTACCACACGCAGACCGGTCCTGCCCGCACTCTTACCCTATCATGATTGACAGTTTTTCTCTTTTAAAGTTAATTCAATCACATTCCTTTTGCTTATTCAAAAAAGGAGTTTTTTCACTGCTTACTAATCATTTTCTGACAAAACTTCTTATTCAAAAAGCATTAACTGAATACTATGGAGATTCTGTGTACCCGTTCTAAATTTCATGTGAAAATAGCGTTTTGCTTGTTATGATGGGACCTTAAGGGTCTTCAATAAAAAATGTATATATTTGTACGGGGTATGGTGAGTAGTTAAAATTCGGTAAGCGGGGTGCTCTTTTGTTCACAGTTACTTCAAAGTCGACAAAATTGTACAACGCCTATTCATAAATGACTCAGTCGTTTGTAGGCTTCAAAGGCTCCGGCTAATTAGTAATCTTCAAGAATTTTGAGCTTTTGATTTCCCTTGCTATGGATTGCTCCCTACTTAGATCCACAGGCAGATAAACCGTGTAAATAAAAAAAATCTTGCTTAAGTCAGTTTCTTAACAAATTTTGACGTAGGAAATTATTTTCGGAACCAGTCAGTCATCATGATGGCGACAGCAACATAATATTGTCAAGCCCGAGACAAACCGAACGAAGTACTGTCGAATGTTGCAAACTTAAATTCTTTCACACCAATGCTCAGAGTCTGTTTTCCAAGCTTGATGAACTGAGAATACAGGTAGCCGATACTCCTCCCGATGTTATAGCAATAACAGAAACGTGTCTGTAAGGGAACGTGGGTGATTGCGAGGTAGCACTAACAGGATACTAATTGTTTAGGAGAGACAGGAGAGGCCGCTGGGGGGAGGAGCTGCCATGTATGTAAAGAGCAACTTAACAGTGTGTGAGAGGGCGGACAAGATTTCTAACGACACAGAGGCAATTTGGCTGACTATAGAAGCACGGGGGTCTCAGTCCCTCGAAGTCGTAACTATCTACCGGTCCCCTCAGGCGGATCCCGACTCAGACACTTGTCTACTGGAAAGCATAAAAGAGATCGCCAGTCGACCAGACGTTGTTCTCATGGGGGATTTAAATGCACCCTGCATTCAATGGAGCGATATGCATGCGAAGTGCTCGAAAAATGCCTTCGATTACCGTCTACTAAAGACAACCCTAGAAGCTCTTCTCACGCAACTTGTCCTATCTCCAACTAGAGCACGTGGAGGGCAACAGGCTAGCTGTCTGGACCTCGTCTTCACCAAAAATCCTGACAGTATAGACGAGGTGTACTACCTATCCCCGCTCGGTCGAAGTGATCATGCAGTACTTTTATGGGAGTACGAGCTGTATTCTGAACCGTAAAAAAAGAGGATACGAGGCCGGATATATGGAAAGGGGACTTTTGCCAAATGAGAGTTGAGGCATCACAAATAGACTGGGATGTTCTCTTCTCCGGAAACGTTAACGAGGACTGGAATTTATTTAAGGGTTGGTTATTGCATGTAATGAAGAGTCACTGTTCCGTATCAAAGCCTAGGACATCCAACCGCCATCAGTGGCTAACATGAGAACTAAAAAGGAGATCAGTAAGAAAGGAAGATTGTGGAAGAAATTTCGGAAAAACAAAAACATTGCAGCGTTTACAGAATATAAAGTTAAAAGAAATAAGTTGAAAAGCCAGATTTTCAAGAGACGACGGGATCTTGAGAGTAATTTGCTTCATCGAGCCGTTAAAAATCCGAAATTGTTCTACAGCTATTTGCGGAAGAGCACACGCAACAGGAATCCCATTCCTGTCATGAGGAATGATGACGATTTGGAGATATCGGACAGTAAAAATAAAGCTGAGCATTTTCCTCAATTTTTCCAATCCGTTTTCACAAGAGAAGCAGACCTTATTCCCACTAGTTCCGAGAGCATGGGAGATTCCACTCTCGAAGATATCGTGTTTCGAGAATCAACGATTTTGGAAGAACTAAAAAGCTTGGAGGAATGTAAATCTCCCGGTCCGGACGAGATCCCAGCAAAGCTGCTTTTCGAGCTTGCCCGAGAGCTGGCCAAGCCACTATCCTTTCTGTGCCAGGAATCGTTCGATGCTCTAATCCTTCCCCCAGACCGGACGACGGTCCACATTACACCCCTTTACAAAAGCGGTAGTCGTGCTCTTTTAACGAACTACAGACCCGTCAGTCTGACATCCATCTGCTGCAAAGTGATGGAGAAAATCATAAAAAGGAGTTGATGACTTATCTGGAAAGTCACAATCTCTTGTCCAATGTACAATATGGTTTCCGTAGGGGAAGATCATGTATAACGAACTTTCTATATACATTACAAAGTTGGACAAGAGCACTGGACGCAAGACACACTGTGCGCGTGGCCTATATTGATTTCCGGAAGGCGTTCGACAGTGTTCCGCACCAGCGTCTCCTGGACAAGTTGAGAATAATGGGCATCGGTGGCAAACTTCTCAAATGGATCGAGAACTTCCTCGTCGGCCGTTCCCAAATTGTCTGCGTAGAAAGACAGCAATCAAGGCGGACATTCATACAGAGTGGAGTCCCACAAGGCTCGGTGCTCGGACCAACCCTCTTTCTCTTGTTCATCAATGATTGTGTAGATGGGTTGGACTGTGATAGTGCGTGTTTGCGGATGACATAAAATCTGGAAAGTTATCCAGAATGCTACCGATGAGACCAACTTCCAAGAAAATCTTTGTAGATTGGACGAGTGGTCCCGCAAATGGCTCTTGTCCTTCAATTTGACCAAATGTACCATACTACGCCTCGGAAATCAGACCCCTAGTACGCTGCCATACCATCTGAACGGAATACCACTTCGGGAAGCAGAAACGCAGGAAGATCTCGGAGTCTGGGTTGCAGACAGCCTTAAGCCTTCTACGCAATGTTGTAAGGCGGCCAAGGCTGCAACTTCAATGCTATATGCCATCAAGCGCGCATTCGCAGTTTTCGATGAAGACTGCTTCTCCAAAGTCTTCCGCACGTTTGTAAGGCCGCACCTCGAATATGCAATTCAGGCCTGGAGACCATGGACACATCAGGATTACAATCTGCTCGAAAGGGTGCAGAGGCTAGTCACAAAATTAGTAAGAGGTCAAAGTGCACTGCCATACGAGATCCGCTTAACTAACCTTAATCTCTATCCTCTGAGTTATAGGCAGTTGCGCGGAGACTTGATACAAGCTTTCCGTATCGTGCGTGACTTGGACTGCGTCCTTCGGTGCGATGACTTTTTCCAACTCGCCACAACAACTAACCTCCGGGGACATCCCTTAATGCTACGTGTGCCCCAGGGCAGATTGAATGTGAGAAAATATTTCTTATCCAACCGTGTCGTGGAACCGTGGAATAATCTGCCCGAGACGGTTGTCACGTCTCAATCTGTGACGACATTTAAATTTAGGCCTGACAGACATATGCTACAGCAAAAAGCGGACTATGTGACTTTTTAGCCATGAGACCAGTGACATATGTGAATCAATGCCTGCATACATTTACTGCTGTAATTTCTTCACAATCTGCTAATTTATCGATTTTTTATGTACAAATAGGGAGTTAAAAGGCGTAAGCCTATTTCCCTCAAATACACTGACTGACTGACTGACTGGCTGATATAGTTTACAAGACAAATATTACAAAATTAGAAGTCAGGGAAGACAAATCAGCTTGGATAACGTTTACTGCTGAGGAAGTGCGTACACAAAAGCTCTGCAATCCGTCACCACGAGCGGTCCCCCCAGGTTGCCTCTGTGTCCACCGTTGAGGTGTCTAGACCCCAGCGCGTGCGTGCGCCTTTTGCTCTGCCCCACTTTATGTCAGTCAAACAGAGAATGGGCAGCTTTGTTTGACCTCGAACACTCGTAAGGCTAGTGACAAGCCTCGCGCGTCCCGGCTTCGGATTAACCGGAAATGTGAGGCGGACAGGAGGGCAGTGTGACAAGGCGCATAGGGCAAGAAGAAGCTGGCTGCTACAACCTCACTAATATTAAAAACACTTGATAAGGACTCATGCGACGACCCTTCCGCTGCTGATTTCCGTATCTTTTGGTGGTCGAATGCCAAAAGTGATTGTCTGCGCA